GGGTACGAATAGGCGAAGTAAAGACTGCTAGAGAGAGAGAGAGAGAGAGGGTGAGAAAGAATCATTTTGAATGCAAATTCTTGCTACATTACTAGAAAGAAAACAAAACATTTCTCAAAATTAGTGTCTTCAGGCCTTCCTTAGGTCACTTTGCACTGCCTGCTGCAGAAAATGGCTTCAAAGCATGTAATTGGCCTGGTATGAGGGAATCCTAAATTGGTATCAAAACAGAGTAGCCTGTTAAGAGCTGATGTGGACATATATAGACACACAGCAATTTTGTAACACAGACAGCTTTACACTAGCTAATCCTGTCCCCACCCCACTGCATGGAGCATGCTGGGGTCACCTGTAGGCCAGGAGTGAGGCACTCTGAATTCATGAGTGCAATGAATTCCACCGATCCCAGGACAATGGAAAAAGTCCTACATGACCATTTTAGCTGGTGTAAATTAATAGCTAGGTCTCCCAGCTAATATAGGATCATTGGAGGCTTATAGGCACCTTTGTCCCCTCCAGTTCTTAAACTCAGTGCAGCTGAGGATTGAGCCTTCTTAGTTTAAATATCCTATTTTTAGCAAGGTTGCTCGAGTGTGGATTTTCCTACTTAACCTAGGTCACAGTTTGTACCCAGACTTTGCTAGGCCATCGGGTTCTTGAGTTAGTCACTGGAGCTGCAGTTTGGGTAGAAACAACCTGGGAGCATTTCACATTTCTTTGTGTTAATGCAGAAAAAGAAATGTAATTTTTTTTCCAAATACAAAATGTATTCAGTAAACAAAATATAATAAATCAATTGAATCAAGTTAAGTACAGTCATAGGGCTAGATCCTTGGCTCCAGCCCAATTCCACTTGGTGCAATACCTTGGAAAGCAAGAAGTGGGCAGACATTATTTTTCACCTTTATGGCTTCTCCCAAGTCTTCCCAGTGTTACAGCTGGCCAGGGCCATTCCAGCCCCTGACACATGGTAGAGCAGCCCTGAGATCAACATCAGCCCTGAGATCAACATCTTTTCAGGATCTTTCACCAGCCGGGCCCCCAGTATACCTCCTTTCACTTGGGGGCTACAAAGGGTGGTGAAGAAGAGCTGAAAATGCTGGACCCAAATCACTGTGGATTCTCATATGCCAAAGATAACCTCGAGTATCTAGCAAAAGTGTCTTTGAGACTCCATCTGTGCAGCAGCCAAAGCAGTTCAGTGGTACAATAATCTAGCCCATAGACAAAATTTCCATATGTCATTTTTCATTTGAAAAACACGGAGATTAACTAAAGCCCTAGTGATCAGACTATATGTGGGTGCAGTGCAGGAAAATCAACCTTTGCACCAGTCCATTAATCCTATGGGCTGAATTAATAACCACTGCCCTTTTGTGCTGGTTCTGCATGGAGTGAGTTCTGGGGCCACTTCATTTTGTGTAAACACTGGTCTTCCCCTGGTCCATTCCAGGCCTGCCCCCAAAATGATTTTGCACAGAGGCCTATGCAAGATTGGTTCAGACACCATTTCAATGGAATACAGAAGCAATCCTGCCTGGCAACTTGGCCAGCCAAAACTGGTCAGAAAATAGTTTTTTATACTCCCATTCCCCATTATGGGCTGGTGAGTGCAGGGGATGTGACATAGAAGTACCTGGTCATGGTGTATGACGAGAGATGTAGTTTGGCCCAGAGAACCCAGTCCATAGAGGAGACTGGGAGCATACGTCACCTGAAATACAACTTCCCTCAGGCACTGCAGTGCCATGTCAAATCAAAATATTTTGGCTTTCAGACAAAAACTGAAAAAAAAAATGGGTTTTGTGCAATTGGTATTTGGATGAAATAGCTACTTTTTCCATGGAAAACAGACACTTTTGTGAATAATTTGATTTAGTTGAAAACCCAACTTTCTGTCAACACACAGTTTTGATAAAAATGTCCAACCTGTCCTAGTCACTATCTCTATGTCGGGCTTCAGTGACAAGGAGGTGAATTGCACCCCACTGGCAAAATTACGGGCACATCTCCATGCACAGGGATCCCAGAAAGTCAAGGAGAGCTATGCTCATGTTACAGTCACAACGTTTTCCAGTAGTTACAATATACAAATGTTTGTCTGGGCAACTTCAGAACGTTCTGGGGATTTCCAGAAACAAAACACATCAGAACATTATTGGAGAAGTGTTTGCAATATTAGTCTCTATAATATTGGAATTCAGGTGCTAATGCACATGACTACATTAGAGTGGTCTTATACTAAAGAGGGACTAATTGTTATAGACGTTTCATAAGTAAGGGTGGCAGGTGCATTCAGAAAACCCTCAGTCATATAACTACAACAGAAAGGTGAACACACTAAAAAAGCCTCTCACAATTTGACATTTATGTTTTCTGTATATGACATCTAAAAATGTAGAAGTTGTGGACCAGGAGCCTGAGGGAAGTCAACAGGAGCCTTTCCTTTGACCTCAGTGAGGACTGGCTCGGGCCCCAATTTTCAAAGTGGCCTCAATCTTATCCCAATACAATGTACACCATTTTGTATGCAGTCATTCACACATGCAAATAATACATGTACATATGATACAGTTTACAAGCACACATGGAGTTTGGATATGCAATCAGATAGTTAAATATCTATGCATATATACATGCAAAGCTTATATTACAACCAAGTGGCAGTCTTTGTACTCACAAAACATAATGTTGAAAATTCTATGTTCAAATTTAAGAGCCATTTTTTAAAATGTGACCCTTAAAATAATTGACAGCCATTAATTTTGCTTCCCTAAGCAAGAAAAAAAAAAGAAAAGATTAGCCTTTAAATTCTTGTATGTGTTTATCTGTTCAGTTTACAAATTACAGCGAAATTGTCTGCAGCTTAGCAGACCTAATCATTGGAATATATTGTAGAAACTTTAGATTAAATGAATGAATAAGAACTCTTCAGCAGTTTTGTATTTTTTACTAATAGGTGCAAATCCAGTAACCAGGCGAGGTTCTAGATAGATACAGGGATGAATCCTCCCACAAAAGACATGAAAAGACCTTGGATTGCTCCCTGGCTGGAATAGATTGAGGGTCCTTTCCTGGTCCCTGACTCCTTTTGGGTAGGAAGTGTGGCAAACTCCCTGCATAACATAACACATCCAATCCCTTCTGTGCACAGTGAACTGCACTGATTCCACAGCCAAAGGTTCCTTCTTAGCAATGGAGGAAGTGGCTGTATTTGCCCCATGGTTTTGATTGCCCCGTTGGAGTCCTGACATGTATTTAACTGCAGTCACAGCAGCATGAAAGAGCAAAGTGATACCTACTGTTTCCATAGTTTATGGAGTGTCAAATTTAGTAACAATCTACATAGACCCAATCCTACAAACATCACTCATGCAAATTATTCTTACTTATGCAAATAGGCCTATTGACGTCAGGCAGTATCTCATGTCTGGAAGAATATCAGAATCAGCCTGTAAAATCACAGAAGCATAGCACTGGAAGGGACCTCAATAGGGCACTCAAGGCAGGACTAAGTAATAACTGGACCAATCTTGACAAGTGTTCGTCTAACTTGTTCTTAAAAATCTCCAATGATAGAGATTCTATAATCTCCCTAGGCAATCTAGTGCTTAACTACCCTGATGGTTAAGATTTTTTTTTCTAATGTCCAACCTAAACCTCCCTTGCTGCAATTTAAGCCCGTTACTGCTTGTCCTATCCTCAGAGGTTAAGGACAACAATTTTTCACCATCCTCCTTGTAACAACCTTATGTCACCACCTCAGACTTTTCTTCTCCAGACTAAACAAACCCAATGTTTTAAATCTCTCCTCAGAGGTCAAGTATGTTTTTTAGATCTTTAATAATTTTTGCTGCTCTCCTCTGGACCTTCTCCAATTTTTCCACATCTTTCCTGAAATGTGGTGCCCAGAACTGGACACATTACTCCAGTTGAGGCCTTATCAACATGGAGTAGAGTGGAAGAATTACTTCTTGTGTCTTGCTTACAACACTCCTACTGATACATACCAGAATGACGTTTGCTTTTTTTGCAACAGTGTTACACTGTTGATTCATATTTAGTTTGTGATCCACTATGACCCCCAGATCTCTTTCTGCAGTACTCCTTCCTAGGCAGTCATTTCCCATTTTGTATGTGTGCAATTGATTGTTCCTTCCTATAGTAGTACTTTGCATTTGTCCTTGTTGAATTTGATCCTATTTACTATTTCTCCAGTTTGTCCAGATCATTTTGAATTTTAATCCTATACTCCAAAGCACTTGCAACCACACCTAGCTTGGTATCATCTGCAAACTTTACAAGTGTACTCTCTATGCCATTATCTAAATCACTGATGAAGATATTGAACAGAACCAGAACCGATCCCTGCTGGACCCCACTCAAGATGCCCTTCAAGCTTGACCATGAAACACTGATAACTACTCTCCAACCAGTTATACACCCACCCTATAGTAGCTCCATATAGGTTATATTTTCCTAGTTTGTTTATCAGAAGGTCATGTGAGACAGTATCAAAAGCCCTACTAAAGTCAAGATCTGCCACATCTACCACTTCCCCCCGTCCACAAGGCTTGTTACCCAGTCAAAGAAAGCTATTAGGTTGGTTTCATATGATTTGTTCTTGACAAATTCCTGTTGACTATTACCTATCTTCTAGGTGTTTACAAATTGATTGCTTGATTATTTGCTCCATTATCTTTTGAGTGCTGAAGTTAAGATGACTGATCTGTAATTCCCTGGGTTGTCCTTATTTCTCTTTCTATAGATGGGCACTACATTTTCCCTCTTCCAGTCCTCTGGAATCTGTCCCATCTGCCTTGCGTTTTCAAAGATAATCGCTAATGGCTCAATTATCTCCTCAGTCAGTTCCTTGAGTATTTTAGAATGCATTTCATCAGGCCCTGGTGACTTGAAGACATCTAACTTGTCTAAGTAATTTGTAACTTGTTCTTTCCCTATTTTAGCCTAAGATGCTACCTCATTTTCACTGGCATTCACTATGTTAGATGTCCGATTGCTACTAAGCTTTTTAGTAAAAACTGAAATAAAAAAAGGCAATTAGCACTTCCACCATTTCCACATTTTCTGTTATTGTCTTTCCTTCCTCATTGAATAATGGGCCCACCCTATCCTTGGTCTTTCTCTTGCTTCTAATGTATTTGTAGAATGTTTTCGTGTTATCGTTTATGTTTCTAGCTTGTTTAATCTCACTTTGTGGTTGGCCTTTCTAATTATGTCCCTACATACTTGAATTGTTTTCGGATATTCATCCTTCGACTTTCTACTTTTTTCCACTATAGTTTATATATTACTCTACACTCCAATATGGAGCACCTTTAGTAATGTAAGAATATCTATTATCTCTCCCCTTCAAAGAGAAGGCCGTACCATATATAACAACAGGGAAATTGCCAGTGGCAGAGTAAGACAGAATGAAACAGAACTGCTGAGGTAGGCCCCACTTTCTAAAGTAATTTAAAAAAAAACTTTTTATTTTGTGAATCCCCCACAAAGCTTCGCCCACTCCCCAATTTTACGTCTCCATTCCTTAGAAATGATCTAAGTTTCCATGTTTTGAAAAGACTCCTAAATTATGTAGGTGCAGTACTTATATGTTTGGTTCATACAGATCATATTTTGCCAACGACAATGGAAGATTCTAATGAGCATTAACAAGGAGTCCCCTTGAAGTCCAAATGGGGATATCACCTACCATATTTTTCAGATCTTTTTCTGTCTTCTTTAATACTCCCATCAGGAAAAAGGTTTTTTTAACTACAAGGTGCAGCAATTTTCCTAGGTGACTTAAGGGAAGACAGCGTTAGTCAGCCTGAAATGAGGGTTAGGGTGGAATTTTCAGAAGAAATGAATTTCACATTGAGATATAATAAATAAAAAATAAGATATTTAAAAGATAATCCCTAATACAGAGACCCATTGGCCTGCATCCATCTGCCAGCATACCCCTAGTCTGTTTTCACCTGCACATTTCTGTCTCTCTTCATATGTATGCCATCCAGCATTTGCTTTATACCTTTCTCACAATTTATTCAGTATGGCCATGCCTTCCTCCCAAACACGCCTGCCAACTGGGTGCTGAGCTCTTTTGAAAATCTGGCCATTTATTTAAGTGTCTAAATGGGAGCTGGACTCTTTTTAAAATCTGGTACCAATCATAGATGCTGAGTACTTGAAAAATCTAGCTCTGAGCTCCTTTGAAAACCCAGCAACTAAGTGTGAGCTCCTCGTCTAATGTAAATCCATGGAGCTCCACTGAAGTCAAGGGAGCTATCACTTTACTCCAGTTAAATATATAGTGCATTGTGTTCAAGGCCACAGATACCTCCTGGCATTAGACATAGTTTCAGACAATTGTGTCAAGTAGACTATTATTATGATTAATTATCATCATTATTTTGTGTTTCAGAGTTCCCACTGAGCAGCTTTTGTAAGGTTGTTGGACCACTAACCTATTCCAGGGTCAAACATTTGCGTTTGGATGGAAATAATCTCACTCGATCTGACCTGCCACAGGAAATGTACAACTGTCTCCGTGTAGCTGCTGATATCTCACTGGAGTGAAGTGCCTCCGATTTCCTTATAAGGGTCATAACTATACTGCAGATTTACACCAGCATAACTCTTTAAAATTAGGATGTCTTAACAAAAGTCAACTTGCATATTATCTATTCTGTTTGTTAATATTTAGCATGAACCTGGTGATCCTAACAAAACATGTTTGTGCATACTTTTACAAGTAGTTTCAATTGTTTGTTTCTGGAAACACAAAAGGACCCTATTCAGCCCCCTCCCCACAAAAAAAATCTGGCTTCCAAGTTGGAGGAATATGATCATGATTGTAAAAATCTATGTGCATTCAAACACATGCACACAAACATTGGTGTATGCAGTTTTGCTCAGGTTCTCATGGAAGTCAGGTGTGTTTTTGGTAGAGTACTGAATGGTAATTTAGGGCTGAACTGTGTATGTACAATATTCATCCTGGTCAACATTAATATTCTAAATTATTCACACCTTTGATATATTTTTAGAAATTGCAAAAGAACAGCATAATACAATTTAGCAATATAAATATGATAAAATTTGTATGAAAATATATTTTCAGAGCCCATTTGAATATGACATTAATGAGACATGAAAGATTATGAAGAAACAAGAACATTTTTCAGGATTTTTAAATTGTTTGTTGTTGTTTTTGTCACTTACCTATATACTTTCATGGAGAGGTTTTTGTCTGCTACCAGTAGAATTGTTATTTCTCAGTAAATCATATATACAAGTATTTTTATTCAATTACTTGCATGCTACGTTTAACCAGACTGTAGAAAATAAAACATAGCAAATAGCTCTGTTGTGTCCATATCATTGTCAAATATGTTGCAGTCTTTTATAAACTTGAAAAGGAAGTTCAGGTTAAAACTAAAAATTCTAAGGTATTATATTTTGCTGAATTTATTGTAAGGTTAAATAAACTGTTTTCTGAACTTTGTAGTTTCAAAATGTTTTCAAACATATCATCCAATTATATCCACTAGCACTTGTGTTTACCATTTTGTTCAGGCCTTGTGCACTGAGAACTGCCAGGTGAAGCATGTCTGCTATAATGAACTGTTAAGTAATCGTTTGAAATGTATTTATGAATTTTGTGAACATGAAAATGAAATGTATCAGATGTCACAGGCAGTAAGTGTAAGGCAGTGTCAATCCCTTCTGATACAAAGAAACTAGTGCATGCTACCCGGGAATGGGAAGTCAAAGTACTGTGTGTCTTGGAACACACACTAAAATAGGCATGGCATTAACTAAAAGCCAATATGATAGCTTGCTTGGAAACAAGTACTGTCCCATGGATACTATCTGCCTTTTGACTCCTTGATTATAAAACCCTCAAATAAGTACTATCCTAATTTTTAAGGTAGAATCATTCACTCCACCACCACCACCACCCAAAGAAATATCCCTGGAGTACTGCCAACCCTAAACTTCAAAAAGCATGCAACAGGTACTCAAAATCATTAATTACAAAATAATCTTTGTTTGTTTTCTATTTGCCTTCTTTTTTTTTTAAGAGCCTTTGATGTTTGTGATGTCAAGCTTTTCTCCACAACACTGAGGGTTAAAAACTTACTTAAAAAAAATTAAATCTGCATTTCTCATGTAATCACAGGACTCCAGCACCTGGGACTTTACAAAAAACACCAAATATCGCAGGACACATAATAAAATTTTGAGAGTTGACAACATAGCCCCTTTGTGTAGGATTTGAATTGGTGTATGTTATGGTTTTGATGCCTCCTGTGTTGGCTGATAAGCTATTTCTGCTATACTTTTGTGATGACCACCATTTTGATTGACACTGGACTTCCAGGGCTAAAAGAATGAGGCTTTACAGCTTAAGTTAAATGACAATTCCCTGTAGGTCAGAGATGTAAGACTCATATCCTCTGTGGACTGGGCACTGAGAAGGACCTGTAACATACACTGAACAGTGGGTTACACTGGCTCTTTCTCCTATTATTATTTTCCATATTTCATTAGTTATCTACCACTGTGACTGTCTGACATCATTACAGGGTACTGAGGGGTAGAGGGCACCCCTCCATCAAAGCAATATAGCACTTATGAATCCCCACAACCACTGGAGAATAGCCTCCTTTCCACCTCTGAAATGAGAAGTGGATAACCAACATCATAGCAGAGAAGGTGGCTTTGGAGAGCAGGTACTCACCCTACTGTTTACTCCCTAAGCTTCATAGAGCACAGTCCTGCAGATCTCCATCACAAAGCTTCCCAGGGGGCCCACAAGGGGGTGAGGTTGATGATGCAGAACCAGTACTCACCTCTCACTCAGAAGATCTGACACAATCAGGGTCCCTGCAGCTAGTGAAAGAAAAAGGAACTATCCGCCCCCTTGTTTTCACATTCTGGTCCTGATTTTCATAGAGTGAGGAGCCAAGGTCCATGTGCATTTTTGTGCCTCCTTTTGCATATGCAAATAGACCTAAATACCCACTTTGCACATGTAGCTGCCCAATTTGCACACATGATGCAAAAGCAGACAAACAGAAATATGTACTGACCCTGGGCTTCATTTTACGAAAATTAGGCCTTCCATATAAGTTAATACTTTCTAGACATTGAGCTAGAATGTCTGTGTTTGGGAACATTTAATAGCTGATGAAAACCTTAGAAAACTTGTCACTTGAGCTTGGCCCATCCACTCTGGCTGGATGATGGGTTTGTTGACTTTGAGGACGCAAGACAGACCTTTATGCTACTTCTGAATGCTGACCCACGGTACATACCTCCCTGTCTCCACCTGACCTGCTGTGATGTGTGTGTATATGTGACTGAATAAAATATATGATAGATGTACGTGTGGCTGTTTGTATGTTGCTTACTATTTCTGTCCCTGTCTTCTCTTCACCACTCAAAATTGCCAACGATGTTTGCTATCACATTTCAAGGTGGAATTTCATGTGTGTGAGTTTGTACAATCAAGACATTTTGATTTTATGTGGATTTTGAGAGCTGATATGCAAAAAATGTGGGCACTCAATTTCATGAAGAGCAATATTTCAAGGGTTCAGGAAATACACAAAATTAACTGGTGAAAAGTTGCATATGGAATTTCAGAAACTGATTTTCATCAATTTCATCCAGCCTTTCACAGAGGGAAATGTGATTGACCATCAAGCTATCATTTAAAACAAATGTATTTCTTAATCTAAAATATATTTTCATACAGAACTAGATTTACCTTATAGACACTACCCAGTAAGAGGATATGTGGAGCCATGACAATCCCAAGGGCAAACTGGGAGCATTAAGCTTTCATGCTCTCCACTATACCATTCTGTAGAATACAATTTTGTCTTTCCCTATGCAGCTGGCAGACACAGCACAAACATAGCCCCTAAATCAATGAGCTTACAAAATATAAGATGAGAGACAAGAGGTGAATACATGAAACAGGCAGGAGAGCACAAGGTAATGGCAGGTTTGGTAATGTGCAGTGCTTCAGTGATTCACAATGAAGGGGAATATAATTCATTAAAAATTAAACTGTTTCAATTGAAATGTGGTTGTTTAAGGAATATTTCTATTGATATTAGTTGTTAAAACCTGTTTGTACAGAAGCTCAATTTTGGATCTAAATTGGCATGTGTCTATTAGGTTGTGATTTTTGGAGGGAGGAAGAAAGGGTTAATTCCCACTGATTTTCAAATGCCAGCATTTACCGCTAAACTTCTTCTCAAAAGAAATATGACAATATGTGGGATCTGCCTCTAGAACTTTTTAAATTCTCAGTGGAGAGCTTGCAGTCCCTAAATATATTGCTTCCCTCCCATCATAATAAAGTGTTTATAAGGCAAAAGATGTACTCGGCAGTCCATATCTGAATAAAACTCCATTTCTCTCTGGATCTTGTTATATAGAAGTTTGATATTAAATGGCTAAGCCACATCATCAGAAATGGCTGTTCTCCTTTCTGTCCTGGTTTTGTCAGAGGTAGGACTAAATAGAGCACAAGGCCAGGCTATCACTTAGGCTCTCTCTCTAGCCAATGGATTTTCCTATTTAAGGCGCCATAAGCGTAGCAAACTGGCCTGTGATATTTGCAGTAAAAGATCAGCAGTTAACACACATCTGGTACAGAGTAGCTTTCTCTAGCTATCCAGATACTTATGGATTAGGAAGAATTACCCACAGTTGTTTTAAAGATAAAGAATGTTATCAGCATCCACTGCCATTCTTTCCAGTAGCAGTAGTCAAGACTGAAATAACATTTCCATTATCATTACCAACTTGTATATTCAATGCATTGTAATAGCTCCATAGACAAATCTCGGCAAGCCTGGCCTCAGTCCAGAACTTCATTTCCTATGTAAATAGACTAATATAAATATTTTCAGTCATTGAAAATGGATCACATTTAAAGATGCACATATTTTTGATCAATTTGCACTTTTTTGATGCTCCCTTTAAGAGAACAGCATTAAGAGAATGGAATCATTTCAATGAGACAAAGCTCCAAATGCACAACTTGTTTCTACTTCTGCTTAATAAAACAGATTCCCTTTGCCTTTAAGGACAGATACTCTCATTATTTATCTTATATAGCAATAAAGACACAGTACAGGCCAGATTTATCCAGTCCATGCACAGCAGGTGCAAAGTAAGGAAAAAGGCTTAGTGGGACAATAGGAGTACCCAAAGCTAGCACCAACTACAAGCATTCAAAGGGAGCAGAGAGCAGAAGGGGCCATGGCCCTGCTTTTCCTTTGCACTAACCAGAGGAACTGGTCAGATGATGATGGGAGATCATGTCTATACTCTCTAAGGGTGGTTCAATGACTGTGTTCCCTGGAAGTTCCACGTGACATTGTGCATCTCAGATAGTTATGATCATGCCCCATATTTTTCCATCAGATATGCACAAAGTTCCACACAGGTATCTTGATCATTATGGGCCAAATCTAAAGACCACCAGAGTCAACACAGGGTTTTTCAGCTGACATCAGCGAGCCTTGGATTAAGCCACATAACAAAGATGGCAACATTTTTCCTTTTGCTTCACCATCTCAGTGGGGTTTGGAATTGTGCAGGGAGCTGCCTGTTAACTACTGCTGACTCACTTTAGCCAGCATGGTTCTTTGGACTCCACTCTGAATATTAGAGAAGTGAGAATAGTCTTCTGGTGGAGGGAGCAGGTGTCTGGGGAGAAGACTTAGGCTGGGGAAAAGAACTGTATCATCATCAGTCAAGCCTATGAAGACGGCTTGGGTTGGGGCACATATAGTGTTATTTTGGAATTACCTTTCTTGTTAGGGTACCTTTTTGACTCTACAGTGTGTAACTTTTGTTTGTAGTTTTGTGGGGTGTTGACCAAGTTACAGTCATCTGTTGCCGGTTTTCTATTAGAAAACCATATCCACAAGATATTTATGTCAACACAATATTTTTGTGGGAAAATATATGTCTCAGATATCCCAATGTTGTCTGTTTACCCTATACCTCAAAGAGAAATGGAAGAAGGAGATGAATTTATCTACTCTCCCTGAATTTTTGGAAACTATATTGCAAAATGTTATAGAGCCCCTCAAATCCAAAGCAGTCAACATTTCATCTACATTTTTTCAGGTCCAGTGCTTACCTGCTCAGTTTTATCCAAAGAGAAAGGAATAGTTTACTGCTCAATGTAACCCAAATCCTTTGGGAAAGGAGTGTTTAGAAAGTACTCAGCACAGATCTATACCTGAGTATAAAATGATTAAGCAAAGACACTCCAGCTGGCAACAATTGTTGTTGCGATGATGAAAAATTGAAGAGGTTGATAATACAGCTATAAATATTTTGCCATGTATCCCCCCAGAGTATATCTACAGCTCTGTCACTAATCTTTGTTGCCACTTAGCATAATTCTGTATGCAGTACAGAAAGCTAGTACGAGTCCAATACTGAACAAAACTGTTCATTTAAG